AAAAAAAAATCAAAAAGACTAATTTTTTAGTGCGAATTTAAGCAGAAGTAAGAAATCAGAGTCTGTTGCTGTAATAACTGTCTGATGATAAGTTATGTTTATTTTGACAAACAATAGTTAAAAGAACTGTTTTTAAGTGTGTGAAAATATGTGGTTCTTGTACAAGGAGGTTTATAAGCAGTTTATAAAGTCTTGCTAAAAGATAACATCACTGAGTTGATACTTTTTTTAAAACACTTAAATAGAAACCTTATTAAAAATCCTTTCCCAAAAAATCTTTTATAGACAATAACGAGAAGGCGAGTAACAAATGAAGACAGAAATACACTGTCGAAGTATTGTTGCTTTTCAAACTCAAATTGAATCTTTCAAACTTTTCATTAATTTCAAAAAAAACACCTTTTTATAAGAAAATTGTCAACTTTTTCAAGAAGTGTGACAAATACAATTCACTAGTGTCACTAGCAGTTCAGAACTGTTTTGGTCCAAAGCGGATTAGTGTAGAGCATTTAAGACGTCAAGCAGAACAGGTATCTTTAAAATAAGGTTTTTTTACGTTATAGCTGCTGTATCAAATTAAAACGCATTCAAAATCGCTCACTTCCTCGTTGAACATAAGTACATATGTACAAATAATAAATTTCCTCTTCACTAATAGTAAACAGCATCGCATAATGAACAACTATTTTGTCTTACGCTCTGCTTAGTCAAATGCTTAGTCAAAAAAAATGAGGCGACTTAGGATCTACTCAACACTTCCATTAAGTTTACGTGTTTTGTCTGTATTGTGTATTTTGAGTTACGTAAATAAGTGTAAATCTACAACTACAACTTTTACCATTTTCAACAAATTTCCAGAATCTGTTGTCACTCAAAACTCTTTACCAGCAACTGCTTCTGAGATATTGATATGTTCCTTTGACATCCTAAATCAGTGTTTGCTCTTCAAAAAACAATTCACAGCAGAGTCAGGTTAGCGAATATAAATCGTTTCGACAAAATTTTCTGACTCACTGAACTATTAGAAGTAAAATACCAAAGTGAAACTGAGAAGACTAAATGAAATTTCAATGCACTTTAACCTGTCATCTTCTTATATTTGTTTAGGCAACGTCGGACGATTATAAAATACTAACACTTTCAAGAAAACTTTAACCATGTTTAGGAGAGTAAATTGCCAAATCTTTAAGAAACATTTGCAACAGTTGATTGTCTCCGAGAAAAACTGGATAATTCTGTTTGCAAATTATGATAGTTTTTATCGAAAAAAACACATTTTATTAAGATAAAGTTACAGAAGAAACCTTTTTTCTAAACTGTATTGAGCTAAAAATACTTTCTGAATGACCTTTATTAGAAAAATTTTCTACCGCTAAAAGCGCCACCTTGGAAATCTTTTCTTTTTTTGCTAGCTTAAAAAATAAAGCTAAACAGATATATATATATATATATATATATATATATATATATAATGTAACTTTAATATATTTAATTTTCTTGACTTGCAGTATCATGAACATATGTATGTATATGTGCATAATTTTATATTACTACAAGGCAAAGAAATTAAGTAAATTAAAATTTTTTGATTTATAAATGGCTTTTTCCTCAGTTAAAAACAGTCGCAGGTGAGCAGTGGTGCTGAAAAAAATATGCCAAATTGAAATCTATGCTTTTACCAAAGAATGTTCTGTAATTTGATTATATTTCTGCCGCATGATTAGAGACTAGAATGCAGTAGTATGTCATAGCTTAAGCTAAACTTCGACATTACATTGTAGCTTTATATACAGAAAATATTTTTTTTATGTACCAAACTTTATAAACTGTTTTATCCTAATACAATTCTTTAGCTGTGTAGCATTGAATAATTCAGTTGAT